CAGGGCGATCAGGGGATTGGGGAGCTCCACCCCTATCAGGCACAGAGCAGGGCCGATCAGGGGGTTGGGGCGCCTTCCCTGTCACGAACAGAGCAGGGCAGATAGGGAGGTTGTAGCCCCGCCCCCTGTCACACACAGAGCCGCAGGGTGATCAGGGGGTTTGGGCGCTGCCCCCTGTCATGCTGATCCCGGTGCTGGGAGGCCTCGCTGCTCCGCTGATCCCGGTGCTGGGAGGCATATTACCCTTTTACTATATAGAATAGAGGCCTGGTGCACGGGTGGGGGCCGGCTTGTTTGCCCTGAAGGGTGTCCTGGATCAGGGTGGGGGTCCCCACTGGGGTGCCTGGCCAGTCTGGCTGAGGGGCTGAGGGCCGTTTTCAGGCTGGTGGGTTGACTGAAGCTCCCAACCGCTCCTTTTTTTCTTTTTCTTTTTTCTATTCTGGGCCAGCTTTAGCTCTGAGGCCTCGGCTGCTGAAAGCCGGTTTCTGGCCTTTGTTTTTCCTTCTGTATTTGATACAATGTTGTGGTCCGGCTGGCTGAAGCCTGGCTGACTAATGCAGGTTTCTTGGGTTTTGTTTAGCTTCTATATTTGCAACATAGTTGCTTAGAGTTGCAGCTGAGAGGCCGGCAAGTGAGGCGGGGAACATTGGAGTCCGCAGTCACTGGAGCAAGCAAGCCTCCCTGTTCGCTTCAGTGCATGGCTCTCGGCCGCCATCTTGGCTGACAGTTAATTTGCATAAGGATATGCTGATTAGCCAATGGGAAGGGTAGCAGTCGTACGCTAATTACCATGTTTCTCTTTTATTAGTGTAGATGCAATGGGAAGCCATAGAAGGTCTTAATTTTAATGAGATATAATTTACCTATAATAAACAGCACATATAGTAAGTATATAGTTTGTTGAAGTTTGATAAGTGTATAAACCTGCGTAGCCACTAAAATAGTAATATGAACAAGTACAGCTAAAAGGCTTTTAGAGGAGATACAATAAACTTGATTAAACCAGGAGACAGAAAAGAATTAACTGTAGACTAAGTAACAGAGAAGACAACAGATGAAAATGGTAGATTTAAACCTAACCATATGGATAATTACATTAAATGTAAATGGTCAAAGCAAAATCAAATCCCAATTAAAAATGGAGATTGTCAGACTTGAATAAAAAAGCAAGACCCATCTAATATGCTGTTTACAAGAGATGCACTTCAAATTTAAAGAGACAGACAGGTTGAAAGTCAAAGGATGGGAAAGGTATCCCAGGAAAACAGTAGGAACAAGAAAGCTAAGATGGGTATATTAATACCAAACAAAATAGATTTTAAGTTGAGGAATGCTACCAAAACAAAGAAGGTAATTTCATAATGACAAAAGAGTAGGTTCATTAAGAAGACACAAGAATCCTAAATTTGTATGCATACAAATACACGAAGCAAAAATTAACAGAACTAGGGGGAGAAATATGCCTATCCACAATTTTAGTTGGTAATTTTAATGTATTTGTCTCAGTAACTGATAGAATAAGTAGGGGAAAAATCAATAAGGATATAGAAGATTTGGAAAACTATGTGAACTAATGTGCCCTAATTGAAAATGATAGACCACTACATTGTAAAACTGTAGAGTACACATTTTCTCAAACACACAGGGAATTTCCACCTATCTTGCCCAAATTCTGGGCCATAAAAAAGTTAATAAATGTCAAAAATTTCAAATCATATAGACTGTATGCTATGACCACAGTGAAATGAAATAGAAATTAGTATAAACAAGGTAATATAAATCCCCCCCCCCCAATATTGGAAAGAAAATAAAATATTTTTAAATAATCCATGAATCAAAGAAGAAATCACAAATGAAAATAGAAAATATTTTGATATAGAGATAATAGTGGCTCTTCTAGAGACTCCAATATGTATTCTTCACTCATCGTAGTCTACCTTGATTTAATAATATACCATTTCATGTATATTATCTTTTACCCATACTTTGTGCTATGGTTTGACATGGTTTATTTCTACATAAGAGATAAATTGTTATTATTTTGCTTTAAACAGTAAATTGTTTTTTATAGAATTTAAGAAAAAAACTAAAAATGGTATTTTATATTTATCTACATATTTACAATTTCCAGTGCACTTCCTCCATGTATATCTGAAATTCCATGTTATATTATATCCCTTCAGCTTGAAAAAGAACTTCTTTTAGCATTTCTTTTAGTGTGAGCCAAATGGCATTTCATTTCTCAGATTTCATTGATCTGAAACATCTTTATTTTGCCTTCATTTACTGAGTATAGAATTCTAGGTTGAAAGTTTTTTATTTTATCACTTTAAATATTTTGTTTCATTTCTTCTGGCTTGTATTGTTTCTGATGGCAAGCTAGTTGCCATTTTTATTGTTATTTTCTTGTGTGCATTGCCCAACCTTTTCCTATTGGCTGACTTTAACAGTTTTCTCTTTACTTTCCCTACTTTGGATTCATGGAGATTCCTGGATTGGTGACTTGATTTTTTAAATCAATTTTGGGAAAAATTTCAGCTATTATTTAATTTTTTAAATTTCATTTTCTCTCTCCTGTCTTTCTGGAACTATGATTACATGTATATTATACCATTTGATACTGTTCTGCTGGTTATTGGGGCTCTGTATATTTTTTTCAAACTTTTTTCCTTCCTGTTCTTTAGTTTGGACAATTTCTATTGATCAGTATTAAAATTCACTGATCCTTTCTTTTCTGCAGTTAATCCAATCTGGTGAGATTTTTTTTGTTTGTTTTGTTTTTTAATTAGGTAACTATATTTCTAGTCCTAGGGTTTCCTTTTTTTTTTTTTTTAAGTTTCCAGGTTGTTCCTAAATTCCCCATCTCTTTTCTCTATTATATTCATTTTTCCTTTAGACTCTTTAACATATTTATCATAGTTATTTTAAAGTTTCTGTCTGCTGATTGCAATATGAAGGTCATTTGTGTGTCTGTTTCTATCGAGTAATTTTTCTCTTGAACGTGGGTCATTTCCTGCCCCTCCACCCCCGTTCCTTTGCATGAAATGTTTTACTATGTGTTAGACATTGGTGGGAGATATGTGAAGAGACTCTTAATTCTGCTATTTCCTCTGATGAATGTTAAATTAGCTTCTAACTTAGATTATTGGTGGTTCACCTTGAATTAAAGGAGGCTAGATTTTAAACTATATTAGGGACAGTCTATTTCATTATTTCTCTTGATCCAAGGGTGACATAGTTCTTATATGACATATGTCTGAGTTATGAAACATAGTTCTTAATCCTAAGGTCTGGCTCTTTTGAAATGTCAATGAAAACGAGGTGTTTGACTAGTCCCCAGCTTGGTGGGATTCAGACTGCAAACCCTGGCTCTTCTGTGCTGTGTGGAGCTGAAATTTCTGCTCAGGTCTTTAAGTTTCCACCTGTTGTTTTGTCCTTGGGCTCCTCTTAGGCTCCTCTGTGTATATATAATTTAGAGCAGAGGTTCTCAACCTGTGGGTGGCGACCCCTTTGGGGGTCGAACGACCCTTTCACAGGGGTCGCCTAAGACCATCGGAAAACACATATATAATTACATATTGTTTTTGTGATTAATCACTATGTTTTAATTATGTTCAATTTGTAACAATGAAATTGGGGGTCACCACAACATGAGGAACTGTATTAAAGGGTTGCGGCATTAGGAAGGTTGAGAACCACTGATTTAGAGGTTAACCAAGGATTTGAAGGGAATTTGTATGCAGATTAGGGGGCTTCTTTTTTTGACTTCCTCTTTTCTGAGTTTTTCCCCTTTAGTTTTCAGCTATTCTAGGAGTTTCAAACGCTGTCCTCTGACTCTTCAGGCAAATACAACTACAGTTTTCTTCTCAGGTTCCAACCGTCCAGTGCCGTGCAGATTGCTCTCATGGGAAAAGCCATTTAAACATGACTCTTGTCCATTATGGTTCCCTCTTTCAAGGATCAAATAACCTATAGTTTATTGCTGATTTGGCCATCCAGTGTCTTTGAATAATTGTTTTAAATATTTTGTTAATCATTTAAGTTGTTATCTGCAGGAGAGTCAGTCCAATATAAGTCACTCGGCCATTGTTAGAACCAGAACTCCATTGGGGGTTTTTAAGCAAAAGAGTAACATGACTAGACTTTTATTTTAAGAAAGCCATTCCAGCAAATGTGTGGAGACCTGTAGTAGGGACAAGAATAAGGGCAGGAAGATAAATTAAGACTATTATCCGAATCCAGTGGTCAATGATGATTGCTTAGACCAGGTGATGACAGAGGACACTCCATGACAAGCAGCAGATGAGTTTGAGATGCATTTTTGGCAAGATTTGGTGATGAGTGGGGGTGGGGGTGTAAACAAGAGAGAGACTCAAGGGTGATTCCCAGGTTTCTAGTTGGAGAAACTGGGTAATGAAACTATTTGCTGAGATAGGTAAGATTGAACAAGAATGGGGCTTGGGGCAAAAATCAAGTTTTTGGATATAAGTCTTAAGATGACAATAAGATAAATAATTGTCAAGTAAACAGTTGAACTTAAAAGTCCGGAGCTCGGGAGAGAGGTCTAATTTCATAGGTCTGGCTGCTAGAATTTGAGTGAGGTATACATCTGTGGAGGGAAGAAATGCTATCCAGGGGATTGAGAACTGACAAGGGTTAGTTAGTGCTGAATGTTGACTTTCTGAACTCTAGGAGAGATGAGAAGCTGGCAAAATTAGCCTAGCTGTAATTGGGATGTTGTGGGGAGGTTAACTAAGGCTGCTTTTACTCCTGGATACAGGGTTACAAGAAAGAGAATATCCCAGGTGAATGCTGCTGGAGATGTCTGCCTGTGGCTTGCACCATTCAGCTAAGGGGAGGACAAATCATGACTCTGCAGGTGGGAGCCCATTGAACTCAAGTGTCCCCCTAGTATTACCCACTGGTTTCCTATTTTGGGATCTTTTCTTCAAGAAAGAGGGACTACATTTGAGTCAATATTGGTTTCTTTCTGATTTTATAAAGAAAAGATGAATATCTTATAGAAGACAAAAATTGTCTCTTTGTTTTAGTTATGTTGTCACTCTTCTTGACAAGTTGATGTATGGCCCATGATTTGAAGTTGGCTGAAGTTTAAGAAATTTCTCCAGCCTGATGTCAATGAGACTGGAAAGACAGGGTGAAATAAACTCTGACTTATGAAAGTCAAAATTAATTAGTGGGTTTGGGAGGTGATGCCCAGTTTAGTTATTGATTAGCCAGTTTACCTTCCTATGTCTTAATTCTTTAAACTTTTAAGTGATCAGAAGAATTTGGGGATTCTCTACATTTATGCAGCCCTATTTACAGTTAATAAGATGTATAAGGGCTCTACCTTTTTTGTGTGTATTCTGGGTGTGGAGACTTTATAGATACTGTCTCATTCTTGTTCGATAGTCTTCCAATTTGTTAAAAAAAACTTCATGGACTCAAGGTCATGGTTTGAAGTGACTTTGTAACCAAACACTACCTTCAAATTTGCCTTCTTTGGTTTCAGCGTGATGAGATGTTCCAGGATGGCTGTGACAGTCACTTCTGCAAGGTCAACGAGAGAGGAGAGTACATCTGGGAAAAGAGGGTCACAGGCTGCCCGCCCTTCGATGAACACAAATGTCTGGCCCAGGGAGTGAGTATTCGGAGCTCAGGCCTTGCTTTCCTCTTGACAGTCTCCATCTCTGACTCTAAGAACAGAGGTCCTTCTGAGCAGCATGTAGTCCAGCTCTGACGTGATTTCCCAGTGTCCACGGGAGATCTCTGACCTAGTATAGGAATCAATGAAATCACAATATCAAGCCTGCCTGAAGCACAGACAAAACTCTCTGCACTGTATGGTGCTATAAAAATACCTTTCCCTTGGGGGAGACTGAATGTGTGATCCTGAAGGGGAGGGGAGAGAGCAGACTGATTTCCAATCTTCCCTGAGAATTTGATTCTGATGACTCAATTGGGAGAGGATTCAGAGTAATCAAAATTGTTTCAGCCTGGTCAGGTAGGGTGGTCATTCTTCTCACATTTGTGGTGGAAAAGCACAGTTTACATCTGGGGACTTAAACTCAGGGTCGTGAGCCCAGGAATTAGCCTGGGAAGTGACCTGTAAGCTGACCACTATGTACTATTTGTGACTAATCTGGGACTTTGCTGTTTCCTTAAGGGGAAAATCATGAAAATTCCAGGCACCTGCTGTGACACATGTAAGTACATTACCAATAGCTTGTCCCTGGAAACCCATCAGACCAAGTCCAGGGACTGTTCTTTGGAGTAAGCTTTATTCCAGAAAGATATTTCTTGATCACCGGCCAGTCATTATGTTCAGTCCTGCAGGGAATTGCCACTCCTCCCTGAATGTTCTTAAACTGCCCCCTGCTCAAATCCCCTTCCAAAAGCCTGTGAATCACCTCTTTCCCCTTTCCTCCAAACTCCTCACTGTCTCCAGCCCCTTGCCTTCCTTTCCCCTCATAGAGTCTTGGGTTGCTCATAGTCCTACCATGAGAGAAAATCTTCTCTCTCCACACAGAGCTCCTTGAAGACAGACACCCTTGATCCATGATCTTGACAGAGTAGACACTCAATGCACATCTATTCATTGAGTGTCACACAGCTATCTCAGGAAGCAAGGGAAGCCACCCCTGGCTAACATTAGACCCACTGTGTGCTGTGGGGACTACAGAGAACATAGAGTCCTCTCGTGATTTATAAGGCTGGTCTGAGTATATTAACCCCCCTTCTTCACTCTCGGTCCCTCTTGAGCTTGCAGTTATGTTATACTGGTTGATCCTAATAGCTCACAGCAGCAGCGTTGGAGACTGGACTCAACAAGTCTGCAGATCAGTGTTCTTACCACACATTCTTGTGTTCATGAGCACAAATAACATTCAGAATCCCAATGTTAATGCATTCTTCTCTGAAGATAGAATTACTTGCCTGAACTAATATTTTTTAAGTTTAGTTTTGTTGTTTTGTTCTGTTTTGGGTTCATAGGCCCATGTTCAGTTTTGGGTAGAGAAAGGAAGAGTGAAAACATGAATACCTTTGGCATTCAATCATTCATTCTTTTCTTGATGGCTTACTCTGACAGCCCCTGTAATTGTTGTATTCAAGTTGTAGACTGAGGAAACACAGTCCGAAATGTCTGAATGGTTTAAGAAAGTGAAGTCAAGAAACCATCAGAGGAGGTGAATGCTAGGTGCACTGCACAAAACATTTGGTTAAGAGACTGTTATCTACAAAACCAGCAAAAAAGGGCCTTTGTTGGTTAGCATGTTCAGGAGGCTGAGACCCTTTATAAGGAAAGTAAGCCAGGCTCAGGGATTTAAATACACAGAGAAAGAATATAGGATGTTGGCCTAAATATGGTTTTCCTTATTCATTCTCTTAATGTAGTTGGCAGGCTTTCCCTTGAAAATGAAATTACTTGGAAGTTGGAGGCAGGCTAAAATGCAATTGGGGTTGATTTAGATTAGGAGCCATCCGAGAACGGAGAACTCCGTGTTCAGATAGGGAATGGTGAGCTGCATTAAGTCTTACAATTCTCCACTGGAAGATAGCATTCTGACCTGAATGCTTCTTTACATAATACCTGTATGTAAAGAAACCCATGCCAGTCACCTGCAGGTGGCTATACCCAGAGAGGACTCCACAAGGGCTCCTAAGGTCTTCTCGGCCCCCACAGAGGCTGTGAGTGCCCTTATGTGGTCCTGATATTTGCTTTTCCTCTTAACCCAAAGGCAGGGATGGGCAGATATTAATTATATTTACTAGTATTGGTTACTTCATTGCCCATTAGCTTCTGAACATTGTTACAAACATAAGATGCCTGCTACAGTCATTATGGTTTTTAGAATCTTCAATTATATAAAAAGCAAATTCCATCCATCCACATCACCAAAGCACAGGGAATTTAGGCTCCTCTTGCAATTAAAATTGTACCAGTAAGCAAGTTAAACCTAGCAATAACTACATCTCTGAACATGAAGGACCGGGTGAACCATGATGACATAATTCCCCTCTCTGTGGCTGGCTCTGGTGATTTGGACACTGTTTTCCAGCCCCGTGAGGGAACTGGGCTGGAGAGTGTTCTACAGAACCCCAGCCAGGCCCGGGTCCCACCTCTCACCTGTCCCATAGGTGAGGAGCCTGATTGCAAGGATATCATTGCCAGGCTGCAGTATGTCAAAGTGGGAAGCTGTAAGTCCGAAGAGGAAGTGGACATTCATTACTGCCAGGTAAGGGCCCCTGACTTCGATGAGGCCTACATGGGGAGGGGAGTCTCCTTGTTTGGTAGATATCTCCTTAGTTACATTTCAGAAGGATCTGAAAAATTCACAGGGAGGAGAACTGAAAAGAACTGTAAGCATACA